CTTAAGAAGAGCCTCCTTTTCTCTCAGATTTTATATCACTGGGTTCATCTCAGGTACCACAAAGTACAGTGAAAATCTAATAAGTTAAAATAAGCTGTGGAAAGGTCACCAGAAAAACAGCAAAAAACAATATTCAACTGAGTGAATGATTTCTCTCAGGGGATTGACTTTTAGATTGTGATTTTTAAAAATATTTGCGATGTTTTTGAAATTGCAATTTTTTGGTGCACACGATTTCAAATAAAGGTGATCAAATCTTCCTGCCGTTCCAGGTGACTGAAATTAAACTGCCAGCAGTTATCACTAAAACAAAGGTAAAGATACTTTGCTTACACATAACTGAATATTTCTGAAGTCTAAAGGACTAGAAGACTTCTCAGTGCGAATGTCTGTTTCAACAAAGATACCCTGTTTTGTAGTATTGGATCCATGGAGTTTCTAATTACACGTATATAAGTCTTGGCAGCATTACTGTAGTTCAATTTTGCCTTCTGCATCTAGGAATGTGAAAGATTTGTATATGCCGCTGGTTGTGACTCGCCAATAACAAGTAATGAAAATTCCTATTTACCATTTCTAGGATCAACACCAGTTTGACAGCAGAAAATGGCATTACTTACCTGGCACACAATTACTGTTGTAGAGAATCTGGAAAAATAAATCCCTCAATCCATTCAGGAATGTTCTTTTCCCAATTAAGGTTTCAATGACTCTGCACATAACACTGATTTTTACCTTTTTCTATTTGCATTTTAATTTCAGAAGTCCCTGTCGATTTCATTTCTATAATACAGGGTGTTTATGTTTTCAAAATCTTAACAACTTCTTATCCCAGGAGTCCCTTTATTATTTAATATTTTACTTTGTTCAGTTACTGGAAAACATCTCATAGCTTCTTTATCTATTACTTTACTTGAGTTGATTGTTTTCGTTACTTTGTGAAATTATCCATTTGGTGATCACATGACTAATATGCAAAAAGTTCTTATTTCAATTATAAAAGCAAATCTAATTCATGATTATTAAGAAATGTACTTTGCAAGTCAACCACTGTTTATTTCAGAATATAATCAAGTACCACAGGCTAGATTAAAAACTTAAGGATAGGGATTTTTTCCCCCCCGATTTAAAATAAAACAGGTAATCAAACCTTCCTGCCAACCTAGGTGACTGTGAAATTTAATCACCAGCAGTTATCATTAAAACAAAGGCAAAGCAATTTCTTTTTTTTTTTTTTTTTTTTTGTGGTATGCGGGCTTCTCACTGTTGTGGCCTCTCCCGTTGCGGAGCACACGCTCCGGACACACAGGCTCAGCGGCCATGGCTCATGGGCCCAGCCGCTCTGCGGCATGTGGGATCCTCCCGGACCGGGGCACGAACCCGTGTCCCCTGCATCGGCAGGTGGACTGTCAACCACTGCGCCACCAGGGAAGCCCCAAAGCAATTTCTTTTACACATAATTGAATATTTCAGAAACACATGTCTAAAGAGTTCTCAGAAAATGTATTTAAAAATTAATTTTAACCTGATTATTTCATCTGTTGTGACTCAGCTGGTAATGTAGAATAAATGAGATGCTTGGGTAATGTGGTCCAACAACAGCAGGTAAGAACATATTCTCAGGAAAATCAGATAATTTTGAGTTTAATAGGAGTAAATTATTAGATTTTTACTCTTCACACAAATCCATCCAAACCTAAACCTCCCAGAAATAGAGGCTATTCCTCTAAGAGAGGTTTAACCCATGGTATTCTATTCAAGTTCACCTCTCCACATCCTGGACACAACAGAATCAACCGTTCCTTTCTCAGTGCTCAATTGCCCAAGTATGTGCTAAGGTATTGGAGAGCTGTGCCATTAAACCCATTGCTACCTGAGCAGAAAGAAAGCGTCCTATATCGCCAAAGGTGAGTGATCTGGTAGCTCTGTGCGTGAGGCTGCTGATGGGCCTATAAGCACAACTGTCCAGAGAAGAGGAACCACCAAGAAAACAGGTCAATAGCCCTAAGAAGGGAGTTGAAAATCAGGCAATGAACTTCCCTATCTCCAGACCTTTGCCTAAGATCTTACCTCTTCCTGAAATGCCTTTCCCGTGCCCTGCTTTTTGAAAACATTCCACTCATCCTTCAAGGCTCAACTCATATGTCACCCCTACTGACCCCTCACAACTGAGGTCATCACTCTCTTCCCTGCACTCTCCTCCCCATAACTTATTTTATCAAAATGGAAAACAGATTGCTATTTGCTTGTCCATCTCTGCTGCTGGATGGAGAGGGAAAGGATCCTGATGCATTTTTCTATTCCATACACTTGGGAGTATGCTTGAAACCTAAAAGAAACTTAATAAATGCTTGTTTAATGAAGCTCAAACCTCAAGACCAAACTTAACATGCAATGTAAGAGGCAGATTTGATGTGTGTTGGACTTATTTCTGTACCTAAAGTCTGAGTCAGTGAGAGCTTTCTTTTTCATTCCTCCAAGGAACAAACTTTATTCACACCAAGCACTTATTAAGTGCCACACCCTGTGCTAAACGCTCTATACACGTTATCTCACTTAATCCCCATGACATTCTTATGAAATAGTTCCTGTTATTAGCATCAGTCTCATTTATCGATGAGGAAATTGAGGCTTGGAGAAGTTAAATAACTTACCCCAGGTTACCCACTGCTGGAGCCAAACTCAAGGACAATAATCCCAGAACTTCAGAACTTGAAGGAATCCTTTAAATTATCTTCCTCACTTAACCTCCTTGAATCTGATGCTTATAACTTACTGCCTGGCACATAGTAGGCCCTCCAAAATGGTGATTAATAGATTGATGGAGTGTCCTAATTTTTCAGACTCTGGCCTTTGCCTGAGAGAACCCAGCTGCCTCCACAAACAGGCTCTATTCTTTCCTACCCAACACCTCCCACAGGTGTGAATTGCTTGTGTCGCCTGAATTATTCATGATCCACACGATGGTGAGCTTAAAAAGAGAATTCTGGATCTCAAATTTTTCAAGACAAAGTGCCTGATTAATTGGTGAATTAGCCAATAGAAGCTCATGGCCCATGGTCGAGTCATACCAAAAAATATACCTCTGCCCACTTTTTGAACTTAAGCTTTCGCATAATTTTCCAGTTTCCATTAGGATTTAAAACAGTGGTAACTAAAGCAGAAAAAAGAACCATCACAAGCATCTCTATTCTATCTACAAAGCAATTAACATCATCTAAAGCTTATACTGTGCTGCTTCAAACCCATGTATTCTTCCTAAGGCTGAGTTAGGGTTTTCAATAACATTCCTTAAGCTTAAGGAGATCTTTCATCAAGATCTGAAAATTCAGATGCCACAGCACCTGTAATTTATACCTTCAGTAAATCATGTGATAACACTGCCTTATTGTCCTTTATCCTTTCTTCTTTCCCTTCGTCACCTCTCCCCCACCAGTTCATGTTCTTGTGGGCCATTTTCGGAGAGGGATAACCATATGCTAATCATAAGCTAACATCACTGTGTTTTAAATTCAATGTTAGTCAACCAACATGAACTGAGAAGCAGCAGCAGTGGTTTGGGGGCACTAAAAATAAGCTGTAGCATTTGCTGAGTTCTCAGAATTAAAACCACAGGCGGTCAACTTGTTGCTGCTCTTAATAAGACATGACTGTTCTGCCCCATTGGTTGCTACTACCAGAAACTTCAACTACATCGTACACATAACAACACTGTGCTTTTCATTAGTTGGCAGTGATCAAGAAAGGAAGCGCTATTTCCCTGGAACTAAAACCTGCCAAAAAAGATAATAAATGGCTTTCAAGTGATCACCTTGTTCCACGTCACAACTGCACCTTAGTCAAATCACCTTGCATTTATGATTTAATTAGTCACACATCTAGAGATACGGTTCCTTAATGCTTGGCTTGCTGTCCAATGCCTCCAACAAAGTGTTTCTTCTGGTGAGTTTAATTTTTGGGTAAATAATTTAAAACACACACACAATAGGAATTAATACAATATTGATATATTAAGCATTTCCATTAGGACTTCAAGACCTTCTTGACCCATGAATACTGTAAACTACACTAAATGTCTTATCAGCTAACACTTTAGGGTTTGTCATTAAAGTTTTCAATGACTAGCGAAGTAGAAGAATTCTACCTCATGCATCATCCTGATTAGAAACCTGTCATACTCAGAATCCAGTGGGTCTGCTTCTATTGATTCCTACTCCTTCAGATTCATTAGCAATTTGTTCTCTTCAATTAGGCCCGCTGTTCAACGTAGAAAAGCTGAAAGAAGCCCCTCCTTCCTCGGCCGCACTTGGAAAAAAAAATATGTATGCCTGGAAAGTAAAATCACAGAACATATTCCAAGAGGCCATAGAGGAAAATCACACACACACACACACACACACTTGCAAACGGGCAAATTGTCAGAGGCTGGCTCGACCTCGCGTCCCCTAACTCGCTTCGATCAGAACCAGAAAGAGAATTACCTCTATCCCAAACCCATACCCCAAGCGTGGGTCTCCACGGAGCTAATTTCTGAAACAAACAAAGAAAATCAAGTCTGCGAGAAGCGAGGGTTTGCTCCCCACTGCCTTGAATTTGGACATCCCGCGGAGCGGGCACCCCATAGCCAGCGGGTCGGGGCGCCCAGCGTCACCCTAACCTTCCCCGCCCCGCCAGCCCGGGTTCCAGCGGCGCCAGAAAGTGCGAGCCCGCCCCTACCCGGTTCGCTTCTCGCCTGCTGCTCCCCAAATCTCCAGAACCCCCGCGTCTGCACACTAAGGGCGCCCCGCTCCCCCACCTCTGCGCTGTCAGACGCCAGGCGCGGAGGTACTGTGGGCACCGAGGGTGCTGGCCAGCCAAACAAGTGTCACACCGGCCGCCTGCCCTCACCCCGGGAGCGGGCAAGACGGCCACAGGTAGGCTTTCTCCATCCCAGAGTGCGGGGCGAGGGCAGCGGGCGACAGACCCAGCGGGGCAATCGCGCCCGACGGGCTGAAACTCACCGGAGGACACCGAGGAGCCGGACAGGCTGGAGTTGCTGGACGCTGCCATCTCCGCGCGCCCTGCGCGACGCTGCTCCCTCAGCCGCGGTGCGGACGCCGCCGCCGCTGTCCTGGCCCGGCAGCTCGCAGCCTCCGCGGCCCCCAGCCCATGGCAAAGTCCTGGGGACGCGCAGAAAGCACCAGCCTCCGGACTCTGCCTGCACTTCCTGCTCCGCCAGATGACGCGCTGCTGCCGCCGCTATTTATTTGTGGTTTCCGTCACTCTCGGCGCCTTCGCACGCTTTTCTGCGAGTGTCGAGGGTAGGTGGGAGCGGAGGGAGGCCGAGGGGCGGCCGGAGCAGACGAATCGTGCCTCCAGCTGAGCCCCAGCTGTGGTGAGCGCTCCCCAGCGCGCGGCTGGGACCAGGGCGCCCGGGCGGCCCCGAGACGCCCCGCCGGCTCCCCGCACCCTCCCCCCGGCTCCCGCCTCCCCGGCGGCACTTCAAGCTGCCCGGGCAAAGGCGGCGGGAGACAGACAGACAGAGCGACCTCCCCCTTCTCCCTCCTCCCCAACTCCGCTCGCGCGCACACAAAGGAAGGAGAGGAGACGCGGGAGCTCGGGGGCTGGTTCAGCTGCCGCGGGCTTGACAGCTTCTGCGACGGGGGCTGGAGGGGGAGGCTGTGGGCTGCAGGGCGGGGCGACACTGGCCCGGGGAGCCGGACCCCGAGGTGCCGGGGAAGCTGCTGGGGGGCGCGGGGCGAGCATGGCTGCGGTGCGCAGCGCGGCTCCAAAGGTTTGAGGGCGACCGGGTGTGGGGCGTGGGGGAAGGTGGCGGGACTCGCGACGCCCGGCCGGACTAGGGAGCAGCGAGACAGCCGGGGTGCGATCCAGAGGGCGAAGGCGGAGTCACTAAGGACACGATGCTAGGCGTAAGGGGGCCTGGGATGCCAGAGCGGCTATGGAGCGCTCCTTGCACTCCCCTCCAAATTGTCCTTTGTCGCTCTGGAGCTGAGGATTCCTGCCCTGCAAGAAGGTGCGTTTCCTAAAATACCCTCAAAACACCCGGCAAGCCAATCCGGCTGCTCGTAAGTACCCCAGCCATGGACAGTGCCCGACGGGTCCACTGCGCTTTTGAGATGGGCCTTCAAAGAAATAGAGACGTTCCAGATATGCCATCAGGCCCACACAAAGCCGGGTGTCAAAGAAAAAGAGGTTCTCACACTGCAGTCTTGCAAAGGATCTTCACAAAAGACTTAAGACTTAGCAGCAGGTCCAATTGTGCCCTTTCTGGATAAAACTACTCAGGTGTGTGAGAGAAAGAGACTCTGGCACAAGGTGTGTACTTTACTCCTGTATTTAAACCTAAATTAATTTCACTGGGAGGAAATATCATGCAGATTTTTTAAGTCTATTTCACGCTCCCAGCAGGGTAATCGGTTCTTTCATTCCTGAAGCCACAGAAAACTGTGAAATTTGAACAGAAATTGTTAGTTCAAAGGAAAAAGCAAACATTAAAGGAATGAAAGTACTCTCATTATGTATCAAAGTGGAAATTGTTCACATTGTGGTTGTTCAATTTTAAAAACATGGTTAAAAGGACATAGTCAATTTTAAAATTATCAGGAGTGACACAGGAACAGCACAGCCAATCCTAGGGGGTCCATCTCAACGAAGCACCTAACACACAGTGAATAATAAATGTTGAATAATCACAGTATGCACCCATGTCACATTTTCTAGTTGATTTAAACTTTTTTTTTTTTAATTCCCTCCAGGATGCCATCCCAGTGTATGTTCCCAATAAGGCTCTTTTTTTTTTTTTTTTTTTGCGGTACGCGGGCCTCTCACTGTTATGGCCTCTCCCGTTGAGGAGCACAGGCTCCGGACGCGCAGGCTCAGCGGCCATGGCTCACGGGCCCAGCCGCTCCGCAACATGAGGGATCTTCCCGGACCGGGGCACGAACCCGCGTCCCCTGCATCGGTAGGCGGACTCTCAACCACTGCGCCACCAGGGAAGCCCTTGTTTTGTTTTTAATGCAGCTTGTAGAATAGTTGAGGGCTCTGGAGCACTCTCCAGTCACATTGGACTGAGTCCTCCTGACACTCATCTACATGGAACTTGAAACATCCCAGCCTGGTATACGGAGACCCAAGCACCTCCACTCCGCCCCCCTTCCATTCTTCTTCTTCTTTGTGTAATGCAGTCTTGATGCAGCTTAATGTGGAGCCCTTCAAGGACATATGGCCCATCACAACCTTGACCTCTCTGTCAGAATAGAACTTCCTGTTTTTTTCAGAGTTCTTCTGACCAAAGGCATCACCTACCTCTCTGACTAGTAATCTTTAGCTGGTGGACTGTCTGACTTGGCTATGTCACCTAGTAGGGTTGTCTCCCTCTGGGCTTTGAAGGAGACAACACCTGGATTCAAACTCTGGTTCTGCCACTTATTAGCTGTGGGACCTTGAGCAAATTACTCACATTTGCTGAGGTTCAGTTTCTCCACCCCCAACCAAACTCCTGATAACGTAGGGCGTGGTGAAAATTAAATGACATGAGAGGTGTAAAGTCACAGTGTACCTGGTATACAGTTTGTGCTCCATAAGTGATTGTAAATTTTTTACTTGAAAGATGGAATCTATGATTTGAACAACTTTTGCTTTCTCCACTGGAGATAACTGGAGATAACTAACTCATCAGCAGTGACTTGTTCTACCAGGGGAAATGCTCATCTTCGGCCCAAGGTTTGTATCTTTCTTGTCCCAAATCAAGAAATATGCCAACAGGTTTCATCACTCAGAAGTCTCACAAAGGGATGTCAAATTCTATTTCTGCAGTTTGGATGATGATATCTACCCTCATAGAGCTTTACAGTCCTTAGTTAGAGAAAGTAAAGCATGGCCCTGTGAAGTAGATTATTTTTTTATTCCCAATTGACAGATGAAGGGACAGAGGGACACTTGCTGTGAAGGCATCACCCCAAGGCACCCTGTGTACAAAAGTAGAATAAGATGGAAAATAGGTTTTTTTTCCACTGGGCCCAGAGGTCAGAAGAATACAAGACCAACAAATACGCTTGCTGAGTAGAAACGGGATGACTGGGGAGGCTTAGCTAATTGGTAGGAGATGGACAGAAACCCTGAAGTCCATTATTTTGAAGAACAAAAGGAAAGCTCTAGGTTCAGTACTAAAATCTGAAAGTTAATCAATAACTTGGATTGTTAAAGTCATAACCAACAGAGAAAACTCAGCAGGCATGATCGCTCACCATCAACTTAGTTTCAGAGGCTTAATGGCTCGCTGCTACTTGCAAAAATGTTTAATATCAATATATTAGCAGAAGGTAGAGGAAACAAGATGCTAACCTCCTCCTCAGTAGGCTCAGGAACCTGTTTGTGGACCTTCCAAAGCATTCCTCTAAATGAAGCAATAAGAAAATTCATTCATATATTTTATTCACTCATGTACAGCCTTATTTCTAGGTAATGCCTATCTGCTGGTAAAAACGGGAATATTGGTGCTACAAAGATCTGTAAGTCTGTTTGAGAAGTAGGGATTTTTTAAAGATATTTCGACCTTCTTTCTTCAAACAGTAGAGTACTTATGGGATGAAAGGAGTCTTGATAACTTAGTCTATTTAGGCTTAAAGATTACCATTTTGTTTTAACTTAGCATTCATGCTTAGCTTAGCATTTAAGGCCTTCCCACCTTCCCTTTCCAAACATATTTCCTGTTGTCCCTGTCACAAACGTAACCCTGCCTCACCTCATCCCCTAACCACTGGGGCTGCCAGCACTGGCCTTTTCCCATCCCTCCCTGCTGGACCTCCTACAGACCGTGAAGGTTCAAGAAGAATGTACCTTCTTGGGGAATCGTTCCTGAACCCCAAGCCAGAAATCGGCTCTCCTTCTGTTGAATTCCTATAGTCTTTTCTCTGCACCTCTCAAATGGCAGATGCTCTGTCTTGCTTTGGTCGCAATTGTGGAACATATTTGACCTCCCTACTTTATTAAAAGCTTCCTGGGGGGTAGGATCCTTGTCTGGCCGGCCTTTGTAGTCTCTACCATGCTTTACACACAATAGGTGCTCAGTGGATATCTGTGGAATAAGTGAGTAAACCAAGGAACAAATGAATCCATGAATGGTTCTCATGTACACCAATTAATTTTCACATCAGTAGCTGTGACCACTGAGCAACTAGGTGATGAGTGATGCATCTGGAGCACAAAAAAGTTGACGGGCATGTTAAGGACCCACTATTTTGCTGTGAACAAGAAAAACTAAGATGGTGAAAACAAGAATAAATTTTCATGGAGCAAATGTTTGCATTCCCCACCCCCACTCCCATCACCAGCTGTTACAACTCCTGTAATTTATTGTTTACAGAGTAGCTCTTCTGTTACTGTAGTTTGTTTATTTTTGCTTTACTGTTCCTTCCTTTGAAGTTTAAAGGCAGATGTGAAAACACCGAAGGGTGCATGTGGTTGTTGTGGCTGGAGCTGGGCTCCCACATTTCAGGCACTTGGGGGTGTTTGTGAAGGTCATTCCTCTTCTCTGTGCTAAGCATAGAATGAAACATTCCTGACTTTCAAGATTAATCCAGGAGCCATCTTTCGGGAGAAGAGTGGGGCTCTTTGTCAACTAGTTTTAAATATTTTATGGCAAATACTCTACTATAGAAAAGGGGTCCTTTTGCCATTAATTTCTCAACATAGATATACTCTTTGTTGTAGTGAGAAATATTTCCCTTTGCAGTTTAAGCCGTGTTTCAAATGCAAAGATACCTAGTCCTGTTAAAGAGAAAACACTGGCTCTTCCGGGGTAACGTCAGGTGTAACTAAAGGCAGAAGCTGAGAAACAGTGCACGTCCTCCGAAGAGGTGCGCAGGCAGCCCAGGGCTGGGTGACTGGAGCAGACAGCTCAGACGCCGCAGGTAGCAGCCCAGCCTCTGAACAAAAGGAGTCCACACCTGGGGTGCAGACAAAGGAGGCCGCCTCGGCTACCCAAGTCCCAGTTCACACCGCCTGCCGCTGGGGACCCCTAGTGGCGACATGCCGCAAGCACAAGTGTTCCTGAATCTGAGATGCGGAGGGGTCCGGGGTACCACCGCGTTTCCCTGTTTGCCACTTAACTTGGGAGATCAGGCACACACTTATGGCATGGCTGTCAGCTACAACCTCTTTGACTTGAGAGAGAAGTGGGGAGGAAGAGAGAGAGAGAGGTATTGAGAGAGAAAAAGAGAAATGAAGGCTTTTCTTTCTTTCTAAAGGAAAAAAAAATCAGAGTTCAGAAATTCAGTGATAGAGTTCAAAAACTCATTGAATATGCATTCTTCCACAGTTCAACTCTGGCTTTGTTCCCTGACTTTTTAGATAACAAAAATCTTTTCTACCCTCTATGTCCAAAGAGAAATCTAGGATAAACTAAACTGAAGAGAGCTCTAAGCCTACTCTGGGCAAATGTGTGCAGTGAGTTTGTTTTTCATGTCTTCTGGGGTACCTCTGGCTTTATGCTTTCATTATCGAAGTTTGCTTTCATAAAAGTATCAGATGGATTTGTTCTCTAACTTTTCACTCATTTATGCATTCACCACTTCACTCAGTGATGTTTATTGAGCACTCACCATGTGCCAGGGAGTACGCTAGGAAGAAAGTATGCTGGGAAGAAAGATAAGAGGAAAGCTACATTCTTGCCCTGGGGCATCCTACAGTATGATGCCTCTCCTCCTCCCTGGAACATTTACATTTTAGCGGGACAAGGTTTTAAGCTACAAAAATTATCTCTAATTGGGAATTATAGGTATTACCTATGCTGGTGGCAACTTTAATTTCAGCATTTTTTTTAACAAAACATCCAAAATTAAGCCTTAAAGTCTGTTTCTAGATAATTGGCATTTTCTCATTCAGTTTTAGCTTGTCAGCTCAGAGA